CAGTAATGGATTGCGAATTCCACATAAGAACAGCTTCTCAAAGAGAATACTGTGAGATATCTTGTCAAATGCTCCAGATATATCGAAGTAGAGAACAACGACTAGCTTACGTGGTTCGCGACTACTAGTGACGCAGCTGGAAGGTCGAAGCGACAAGTAACGCAGGTCCTACTTTCGAGGAGTCCGTGTTGGGACCTTGTGACATGATCTTCCCTATGTTGACAGTGTGATAATTGATCTTTGACAACCTTCTCCATGATTCGCGAGATAACTGGGGTTATATTTATAGGTCTGTAGTTGGGAACGCTTGCCTTATCATCAGACATGTAGTGGTTGGTGAACACTATGCTCCGGATGGAAGAGCTATTAGGGGTTACGGTTTCACCAGAAATGTGCATTTCTAAGCTAAATTTTGCAAACCACTCACTGAAAAGTTCACAAATGGTGGCAGTCTAATTGTTAGTTACTCTGTCGTGAAGTAAGTAGAGGGTACCCTCGGTGACCGCAATCCCTTGTTTTGTGAAGTGTTGTTAGGTTATAAACTTTGGAGGTACTTTCAAGTGCCCTCGGCTCCCAGTCGAGGTCCTCCTGAGAGCGTAGGCGCTTGATAGATTCAATCGACTCGTGGATTGAGTGCAGTAGTGATACATTCTAATTGGAATAGTACTGTTTCATCAACCTCCTTAACTTATTGCGATATTCCCTTGGAATGTATTTAGCTTGGTGTCTACTTAATCTGACTGCCTTCTTGGGGGCAACAGCATCTAGACAAAGGGCAGCATTCCTGTAAAATAGAGAAACTGCAGTCTCCAGGGAATCAGTGGTAAAATATTGGTCCCATTAACAGAACCGAACGAGTTCCTGGACTAATCCCCAGTCTATATGTTTGCAACAACGGCATATCATGCTCCCTGAATCTTGTTTGTTTTCTGTATTTATTGGCGAAAAACGCAGAGAGCAGAGTACCAATCTATGGTCGCTACTGGAAAATCTTTTACCAACATGGGCGAAGACTTGGATTGTGTCATGACAAAGTAAAAGTTACAACATGTTGTCACCACGGGTAGGTGTCTGAACGTGTTGTTGGCATCCATAACAATCGATAGTGATAAGTAATTCATCGTAGCGATGGGGCTGTAACTACTTAATCAGCTGACGATTAGTGGACCGTGTCAAGAGGAAGATTGCGGCAACAGAATTAGGCGAACGACGCAGAAACGGCGAAAAACTTCAGGACTAGGAGTTTTCGGGTTGTCAGCATTCGAAGTTCAGTGATGCCGAAACTTCTGTGGGTAGGCGGCAGAAGTGGCATACTGAGTTAACAGTTTGCTACAAAAAGCCCCACAGCCTGTTGAACGAACAGACTGAGCTGAATGATATGATAGACTCCGGAAATCCGGGTGTAGTTATGATTCCAGAGACATGGTTCATATCCACTGTCACTGATAACGAAGTTAACCTACCAAACATAGAAGTGCATAGGGTGGACCGACTGCGCTGCAGAGGGAGTAACGTAATTATCTACCTCAAGAAATGCGTAACGGTGAGAAGAATCGAAGCATTCGCCCACGAAAGTGAGTCGCGCGAACTTCTACGTCGCAGACTTAAATTTAAAGGCCGAGATATTGACCTTATTGACACATACTGCAGTCCTGACTGCATTGCAGATGACTTCTTAATAGAGAAGCCAGGCTCCTGGACATCGAAATGTCGGAGTCTCGTAGTCGGCGACTACAGCGCACCTACAGTTGACTGGACGAGCCTCACAGTGCTTTCCTGAGACAACTCCTGTGATCATAAACTACTGGAATGTAGCATTTCGCTGGCACTAGCCGAACGTGTCATAAATCCCACGCATTATGACTCACAGCACTCGTCTACAACTCTAGACCTATTGTCCTCCCATGGTGTGAATGTGGACCCTCGTCCTTCTTTCGAAAGAATTGACCACACTGCGCTCACTTTGCAGTTCAAAACACAACCAATGGCTAGAAGCCAAATCACTGAACTGGTATCTCAACCTAGACTCTCAATTAGAAGCCGTGTCATCCACGACACGTAAACCGTTAATGCCCAGCTCTTGCTACGCTCGGCTCACGCTGCTCCTTGAAGTTTCTCAGAAACGCTTAGTAATAACGGACGCAAAAACCAAAACACCAATCGGCGACTCGAGGATTCTTTATTGTTACACCAACATATAAACACTATTACAACTAAGGTCTGTGAACAAATATTACAATAATAAATCACAATATTACTTCTGACGGTTTACTGCTGACTTCTTTCTGAACAGCGACCGATGAGACGATGACTGTCGTATTGATGCCTCCGCGAAAATTGGGGAAGTTGGTTTTGAGCAAACAACCGCGAATTGATCGTTGAATCTTCAAATTCATTGAGAAGCCGCATGGAAATTGTCTTAGCAACTTTAAGCCCAAGTAACCTATAGTTTCATCACCTGGTTTATCGCAAATTTTCAGAAATATTTCCTAGCTTAGACAAACCGAGAATTTCGTAAGCTGCTCAGAGATTAACACAAATATTGGTAATTGTTTGCAGCACTTTAATCTCCTGATGCCAGAAAACTTTACAACACCACTAGGAACAATGCTTATGTGGAAATCCGCTAATCAAGGATAAAGTTCGAAGCACTCGTGGGTGAGAATGCAAAGGGACAGCCTAAGAAAAGTTTCTCGTACATGAACTTCATTAATAAAATGTCGAATGGTGTCCTAAACCTGACTATTGACAATGGCATAATAGAAAATGATCAGGAAAAAGCAGAAGCAATTGCAGACTACCTCTCCCAAGTCTTTATACAGAAGTCGTCACTCCCCACAGGATCAGCTCTGACTGCATTAGAGGAAAACGGGATTGATTCCGTTGACGTTGACCAAGACATCGTGCTCGACTGGCTAATGAGACTAAATCCAGGAAATCAATGGGCCTTGATAGTCATCATCCATGGCTTCTCAAGGAGCTATCAGCTCAAATAGCCGGTCCATTGACCACGATCTTCAAGCTGCTTCACCGCGTAACCCAAAGGATGCCGTAGTAACCCCTATTCATATACGAACAAGTTGAAGCTCTCCAAATTACAGGCCTATAAGTCTCACCAGCACTTTAATCAAGACACTGGAGAGATCCATCAAGGTAGGTGTCATAGCATATCTGGAAAGCAACAATTTGTTATCCAAGACACAGCACGGCTTCCAAGGATACCTCTAAAGCATGTCTAATCTCCTCACCTCAAGGGAAATCTGGGTCAAGTGAAGAGTCCACAGAAGACCCGTTGACGTCATCTTCATGGACTTCCGAAAAGCCTTCAATAAAGTTCCTCACAAAAGACTACTCATGAAGTTGGAAAGCCTTGGCATCCAAGGCAGCTTACTAAACTGGATGGGAGAATTCTTCATTGATAGGAGGCGGATAATAAGGATCAACTCGAAACTCTCCTCCTGGACAGCAGTGCGTAGCGGAGTGCCGTAAGTCACGGTACCCGAATCTCTTCTATTTATTTTGTATATCATTGGGTTATCTCTGCTCACCGACTCCCCTATGGTCCTATACGCAGATGACTTGAAAATTTGGAGAGAGCTGAAGGGCAACAGTGATACGTTCACGCTGAAAGAGGACCTCAACAGATTGTCAGAGTGGTCCGTAAAATGGATGCTCCCGACAAATGTGGCAAAATGTGCAACCATGCGCATAGGACAAGCAATCACGCGCTCCTACGAATTAGAGGGAATAACACTTGCATCATTTCAGACTCACTTGCGCTTAGGTGTCATAGTTAGCCACGACTTAAAAACTACAGCACACTGTCGCGCGGTGGCTGCGTGCGGTTTCAGGTCATCATGGGCATTTCGCGGAGCCTTAACTAAAATCATCAGAGATATTTCCACCTCCCAGTATACGTCTCTGGTGAGGTCAAGACTGGAAAACTGTATCTAGGCCGCCAGTCCTCATTTTAAAGATGACTCACACATTCTAGAAACCGTTCAAGGGAAAGTGACATGTATAATTTTCGGCATGACTATTTTTTCATACGGGGAATGACTAGACAGTTTAAATCTCTTCTCCCTATCATATAATGGGCACAGAGGAGATTTAATCAATGTTTAGAATTTTAAATAATGACTACAGATCGGACCTATTCTCTCTTTTCCTTCCCACCAGGTCAGAAAACCTTAGAGGACATGGCAGGAAAGTTCAGAAGTCAAAAAGAAATGGCAGCGCAGTTGAGCACTGGTTCTCACACCGAGCAATAAACTCTTGGAACCGACTCCCAGGAGCCTGGTGTCTGCAATCTCAACTGATTCATTCAAGTAGGGTTTGGACAAGCACGGAAATTTAATAGAAAATGTTTAAAATAGACTTCAAGCCTTGTATCAACAACCATAAATCTGAAATCTGAATGTGTAAAGTTTCTTCCGTTGTTGAGCTTTATGGTATGAATTCTTAACAAAAGAGTGAAACGAACACTGGCTGGAATAGCGAAAGTAACTAAGAGTACGAGTAACTAGATGAATGTTTTAGGAATTTATAACTACAGTAAAAAAAGATGCCACGACCAAATGACCTTGAATTATGGAAAAATGTCACTCAGAAGCACAAGCACAGTAATCGTCGAAAGTTTCACCGTGATTTAGAGTTAGAGTAGGTTTGACGCAAGGGTCAAAACTGCAGTGGAATTTATTGACAGGATGCATTCGGAATGCTGAGCGCAGGACATACGTCTATATCAGCTGGTTAGACATCGTGGGGCTTATTTTTAAAGAGCATCATAGAAAAATGTCATGATAGTTCATTTTCATTAGAAATACTCGTTAAAATACTTTCCCTCTTCCACCTACAAGCATGTGGTTGAGTGGCTTAGAATCACTCACTGTTACCAGATATGCCCTTAACTCAATAAATCGCATGACATGAAAATTTAAGGCTGAAGAATTTCCGCTGCTTCTCAATTTCACGTGGGAGTTTCAAAACTGTGCGTTATTACGAGATAGGCGGCAGTATGAAGTAACGGTTGTTAAGGTTGGTTTCTCAAGGCCATTATGAGGATGTACTCAGGTAACTGACATGGACGTGATATTATAGCTAGGTCGTGTGGCTGTTTACAGATTAAGACAATGAACATGATATGGACGTCGAAAGATGATGTCAAATGGTATAAAAGTCAGGATATATTCTGACTTTTAAATTGTCGTGTTCGTAGTATTTGTTTTGAATTTCAGTTGTCCCTCAAATAGGGGCATTTTTTGAATGATGTCTCTCCTCTTAATGATTTGCATATCACATGTGCACTCGTTTGTTTAATGCATGCATCTGTCGACTGCAGTCGACAGATCCAAATGTGTTTCGAAGACTGTAATTTCAAATTTGTTTCCTCACCGGTTTCACTAGTTCTGCAGTCGTTTTGCATCTGAATGATAAGTAAATCTAGACGCTAAGTTTGTTCAGTGATAGTCCATCTTGAGGTGTTTAAGGTAACGCATCCATCAGTGATATATTTCTGAACCGACAGTTGTTAACCGTAAGGTCAGCCGTAGCAAACAGTAGATGAAATTATTGTTTTGAAGTATATCAACGCACAATAAGGTAAAAGAAGGTATGCGAAACGCCATTGTTTATGAACTGAGTCAGACCATATAGTTTGTGGGAATAACCAATATCTGCATTGGATTAATGATATCAAATCCAAACGGATGCATAATAAGGTTAGTGGATTTTCGTATAGAACCTAACACTTTGTAATGTCATCATAGTAGCCTCGCAAACAGTAAATAATTGGCCTTACGTATAGGAATGGTTTAGGGTATTTCTCCTCATCATCATATCTGATCAGCTGTCACCTCCCTTTCCTTAAATTCGAACAGCGATTCACTGATTGTTCATGGGAAATGGCTATCAAAGATTAACCAGCATCCAATCGTACATCGTTACGGGGTAACTAGCGTTATTTATCTAGTTTTCAGTGTTGGTGCTACCAGAATTTGTTGATCAAGTTAGCAGTGTAACAACCAAACTAGGTAACATGCCATCGCAAAGTGGTTTGCATTAATGTCAGGTGGTTGAAAACAACCAGCAAGGCTCTCTGCAATTTCAAGAATTAGTCCATAAGGTTCTAACAATGTGATTCAGTAAAATAGTTATGGTTGATGACTTCAACACACAATCTCTAAAATATACTGGAAAATTTGATAGTGTGAAATATTCCCATATTATGAATTAAAAGTCAATCTGAACGAAGAATATTCTTTTCAATAATTTCTCTTCAGGTTCTTACAATTATAAAATATAATATTTGTGGTCGTTACAATAAAGACCAGTTAGGCGGCGGATACATTTTTAACGTAGAATAACAGATTAGTTATGGGGTGTCCGCCGCATAACTGGCCTTTATTGTAACGACTACAAATATTATATTTTGTAATTGTAAGAACCTGAAGAGAAATTATTGAAAAGAATATTCTTCGTTCAGAATGACTTTTAATACTGGGAAATACACACGGAGAAATTTATCTTAGATCTATTGAAAGCCATCAGGACTTCTGGCGTTTATAATAACATTAGGGCTAACACATGTGTAAAAGCAAGCAGAAAACCACCTGAACCCCTAACGAGAGACCAACTGATTACAAAGAATTAGTGAAATGGAAGAACTTATCGTCCGAAACACTAAATAAGATGTGTCTTGACGGCGAAACAACGATTTTGGGAGAGGAAGCAGAGTGTAGTATTTATTTAAGTCTGAGATGAAAAAGGAACACCTTAGACATATATATATATATATATATATATATATATATATATATATATATATATATATAAAGAGAGAAACCATAGACTAATCTCAAGAAATTGGGCTAATATATGGAAGGAAAATCCCGATTGGTAATTTCAGAGCATTTGACAGACTTGGTGCAAAATTTTCACACTGATTTTGAAAGAACAATTTAGGCAGACTGACGCTCTGTCTGTCTGTTTTCAACATAGAACTTTGCACAAATGTGCGGCAGTTCAAGTCGCCACACTCCGTGTAGCACGCGAAGCAAGAGAAGAAAGTACAAGAAAAGCATAATAGAAACAGTGAGCAGAGGTGTGAGACAAAGGAGTAATAACGAAGAACAATATAGTTTCATTGGAGATCATAAGTCACAAGGAGTGGATTCATCTGCGCCACTGAGAACGATTTTGAACCATGACTGACGTTACATCATTTTATTTTGTTGCTTCTTATCATTCTTAAAGAAAGTCAGACAATTTTATTATTAAACTTTTGTCAATCTCGCTGCAGCTTATACTGGTTTTATTTTGTTTCTCTTTTGTTATTTTAGTGATATTTTATTCTGACGATGTAATTTCATGCCCTTAATTTCTTCTGCCTATACTCTTGACCATTAAAAGTCAAGGTAGAAAAAGTAGATATTTAATTTCTTGACTTATATTCAACCTAATTAGTCAACACTTACATAAATGCATTGCCCAATTTACACCTCTGTTGAATTTGTAACTTTCGTTCCAAATCCTACTAGATCCTTATATTCGTTTTTAAATACACCAGCAAGCTTGATGATGACTTTTATTCCTTTCTGTCATGCTACTTAATTGAGCTATAGTAATGGTCCCCACCTTAATTATCAGTAAGTAGAGTATTTAACTATTGAAATTGTTTATAGTTGTATAAGACTGAAAAGAATCAAAACACTAAAGTGACGTTTTGTTCTAATCCCTTTCTCGTTGACGTCTTGCTCAAATTCGTCAAATGAGATAATTGCGTGAAATGTTATTCTCTTAGGTAGGTAATATTGTCGCTCACAAAATACCGTCTTCTGTACACCTTTAGCAGCAATCTTCGAATGTTTGGCATGTGATTCACTGCCGTCAAATGTAAGATGGTGATAAGAGGACTGGACTAAATTGACTCCCAGCTCAAAGATATGGAGTGAAATGGTAGGCCGTGCTGACCAGTTCACTTATTTGGGGAGTTGCGTCAGCCAACGCCATCAAGTTGAACTCTGACGAAATCTCGGCACGGATACCGAAGGTTCGTTTGGCATACGCGAACTTACGCTATCTCGGGCATAGACGTGATATCTGGCTGGTTGTCGACTAATGGGCATATGGACTCCTCAACGCAGCAGTTTACTCCGTCCTCCTATATGACTGTGAGACATAGCCATTGAAAGTGGAAAACATGAAAAGGCTAGATACCTTTGGTCATAGGTTTCTGCGTTCTATTTGCCATGTTAAGTGGTATAACAGGGTGAGTAATATTGAGGTTAGGCATCGAGTGCTAGGTGAGGGAGGTTCTGAAGTTACGTCACTTAAGATGGTTAAGATATGTGCTACTCATAGCTAGCCATCGCCTTCCTCGACGAGCAATGTTAGCTAACATAGGATGCATCAGGCTGGGAAAGACGTAGTGGTGGTCAAACAAAAAACATGACATCAGTCAGTGAAATCTTTGACAGTTAGTCTAAGCCAGTCACATAGAGAGATGTCGACTGGCTTCCTGGTCGGGGTCTTGAGGGTGGTAAAAACCAATAGAGGCTGTAGACAATTGGTGATATAGTTCAAAGTCATTCTCAATGGTTACCGGAGACACATTCACTCTTTAAGATTTCTCCCTTATTACTATTGTTTTTTCTTCACACTTCTATTTGTTTTGTCTCTTTTGAATTTCTCTTTACTGTCGTCTCTTGCTTTTTATGTTACATGGAGAGAGTGTGGCGACTGGAATTGCTGCACGCCTTTGTAAAGTCCTGCGTTGAAACTAGTCCGTCAAGGCTCTCTACCACCGATCGCATTCAGCCATTTAACATTTCATTTCGCAATGTGATTATCTCAAGGAATATTAACATTTTCTGGCTATTTGTACAAAAAGTGTTTTTTTGAGATCATGTAAATTTTGGTTGATTCGTTATTATTACTTTTTGCAGCGGGTCGGGTGTGAGGACAAATACCCCCGCCGATGACATTGGCTAGCGGTTGCGCTATGTCGTGGATTGGCAGAAGTTAGAATTCAAGGTCAATTGGATCGGGTCCCAGTGGCTTAATGGTATACGAGCTCGCCTTGTAACCGGAAGGTCCTGGGTTCGGACCCTGGCGGTGGGTGCGTACTGATGAAGAGTCCCAAACTAGGACGAAACAGCTGTACAGCACTCCCAAGTGGTTTTCCAATGGTTCTCTAACTAATGTCGGCTCATGATGGAATCATGAAACCAATCGAATCCCTACAAACCAACACTTGAATATTATTTTTTTTGCATTGTAGATGGAGTATAATGCAGTGATTTCTTTATCAGTCGTCTGTGAACAATGACATTTACTAATATACATATAAGATGCTGCACAAATGAGAATTGTTCACATTATCTGAATTTATTAGATTGTATCACTTATGTTGATAAATTTATGTATCGTGGAGTTGAACTACGCGGGGATAATTTATTACAAGGATTACCTTTGTTAACTCCTCGTTTAGAACACTTGAATAACGGGATTAATGGAGATAAATTTCTTAGTGAAATCAAATCAAAATCGGATTTATCAAGCGAAAATAATTTTCATGCAAAATTACAACCTCAACCACCACCAGCAGCATTACCATCATCATCACCATATTCTACATTTTCAAATTTAAATTCACAAGAATCTTTAAGATTATGTATAGCTCAGGTAAGAGTATATGATGATGACATTATGTTATGCTGTATGACATTATTGTTATTTTTCGTTCCGTACTTACTTATGTCTCGAGTTGGCTATACGACTTCAATGACACATGTCCATGGTATTCGGTTTTGCGATTCACTTTAACTGGACGCTTCACATGATCTTATCTTCGGTGTCGAGTGCTAGGTAAGGAGGGGAAGTTAATCGACGAAGCTATGAAATTAAATCGACTGAGATGGTTAGAACACGTGTTACGTATGCCTAGTCATCGCCTTCCTCGACCGAAGGGCAATGTTAGCTGATATAGGGTCAAGTTGGAAAAGAGCCAGCGGCGGTCAAACCAAAACATGGCTTCAGTCAATGAAATCTACAACAGTTAGTTTAAGCCAGCCAGTCAGTCACGTAGGAAGGTGTAGACTTCCTGACTGGTTGGGGTCCTCGGGACGGTAACAACCAATGGTTGGAAACAATTGGTGATATGGCTCAAAGTCGTTCTCAATGGCTGGCTGGCGCAGATGCATCCACTCCTTGTGATTTATGATTTCCAATGAAACTATATTGTTCTTCGTTATTACTACTCCTTTGTCTCACACCTCTGTTTACTGTCTCTATTATGCATTTCTTTTTTATTTTCTTCTCTTTCTTTGTGTGCTACAAGGAGGGAGTGTGGCGACTTGAACTGCAGCACATATGTGCAAAGTTCTATGTCGAAAACAAACAGATAGATGCCACACTTCTCCAATTCATCTTCACTTCTTTCTTTGTTTTTTATACTTTCTGACCATTTGGTATTCAGTATGGGGAGAAATGAGGAGGGTGTTGATAAGAGTCTAAAGTAGCCTGTTGTGAAATGCTTTTGGTGAAACGTGTTCCAAGTCACTGAACCACATAGAAGCACTGACTTGAGATTAGTGTTGAGAATTCAAGTCTTGTTTTTAAAGCTAAATGCTCTAGGTCTTCACAGTGATTTTAGATTGATAAATGTCTGTCACGCGTTCGTAGCCTCTGTCAGGTGGTAAGTCCTACTCATTGCCTTCATGTGGCACCGCAGGTGCTCCTCACAAAAGTGAAAAAGCGAATTTGAATGTCTGACGCCTACAACCGAACTGCTGGACATATATGGGAGTTGGAAAATCCTGATTTCAAACTTATAGTGGACATGGAGTCCAGAATCTCAAAGGATCCAATGCTGTATAAACACGTGACTTGATCACTGGAAACAATGGAGACGCAGCTCCACTGCCTTGTAGATCAGACTTCAAGTCAAAGGCACAGAGACTGGGTCCTTTATAAAAACCAATCACTTCGATCTGGGCGTCAGGGAAGCATCGCAGCCCTTGGACAAACTGAGATTGTGTAGCATATCTTTTGGTGCCTTAGTCTGTCTTGTAATAATAATAATAATAATGTGTAGTTGAGTTGACAATAATAATCATACACAATGAAAACTTATCAGCATTTCGCATTCGGATGAAAGATATATGGAAAATATCCAGTTACCAGGCAGGGCAAATAAAGACTGATAACCGCTTCTTTCTGGACGCATAAATCAGGTTTCAGGCGCTTGATGGAAATAGTTTCAGTAAACTTAAGGAGAATTGAGCTCTTTTGCCTATTGATAATTTTGAATGACTTTTCAACGTCCAATTCATGACCCGTGTCGAGGAGATGCCTGGCAATGGCACTGTTTACAGCATTTGTTCCCTTTGGACGTAAGGTTTTTGGTACATGTTCAGAAAATCGTAGATATGGTCTTCTTTCTATCCTTCCAATGTAATTGCTCCTGCAGATACATGAGTCATGAGGTGGACGTCGCAAAATCGTTCAGAATTATCAATAGGTGAAAGAGCTCAATTCTCCTTAAGTTTACTGAAACTATTTCCATCAAGCGCCTGAAACCTGATTTATGCGTCCAGAAAGAGGCGGTTATCAGTCTTTATTTGCCCTGCCTGGTAACTGGATATTTTTCATATATCTTTCATCCGAATGCGAAATGCTGATAACTTTCTTTTGTGTATGATTATTATTGTTTGGAATAGTGTTTACTATTGCATATATATATATATATATATATATATATATATATATATATATATATATATATATATATATATAATTAGTGTATGCGTATATTGATCGATTGATTTTTGTTCAAAATGAACTCTGTGCAGTATGTTAAAATTGTTTCTGTAGATATATTTAATAATGTCTTTGCCCTGTAAGCAGATGACAAGAAGTCAACGAAATAAACAATGATGGTACCATTTTATTCTGCTAAAACTGTAGTTCTTGCTTTATTCAAGTGCATTAAGGGGAATAAATGTATGATATCGATTGGGTGGCGTGCTAAATTTGGGCTACCGATATCATACACTTGAAATTCTATACTTGTATCAATAATACAGTGTGGAGTCAAGTTATGATCATCAAATAAGTAAATCTCGTTTCTCGTTATGAATAATGCATATTTCTTTTTGTTTTGTTGTTTTTTGAATTGATATCAAATTTAAGGAAAATAATAATGACATGAATCCAAGGTGTATTATTACACCTATCGATACAGTATCAACATGCAGTGAGGCTTTAAGATTTGACTTAAGTCGAAATGCATTCAAATCAACTCCTAATGATACTCCTCCTATTAATGATAGTGGTGATTATGATGATGATGGTGATGATGATCAAGAATGCAACCGGTCGTCGTCTACACCTGGACGTGATAAAGATGATACGCGTGAACCATTATCAGTATTTCAGGTATGTGTTCAGTGTGTTTAGCATTGATTATTATTATATTATTATTGTTCCCTTGGGTTCCTAGTGGAACGAACATAGGACTTCAACTGCACGCCTCCACTTGCCACTTCTGTCTTCCTTCTGCTGTACTTTCCAGATGCATCCTTGTTAGTCCATACTCTTTCAGCTCCTCTTCACACGATCTCCTCCATGTGTCACCCTTGCACTGACGTCCCATTCGCTGCTTCCCATTCTGTCGGGTTCCACTCGAGCAATTGTCTGACGCGCGCGTGATGTCACCCAGTGGCCTCCTCAGCGAGTGTCCGATCCATCTCCACTTTCTCTTGCATATTTGTTGGTTGGCGATTGGTTCTTGTTTCGTTTGTTCCTTCCCATAGTTTCTTGTTGGTGATTCTTTCCGGCCAGCCGGCCATCTGATTGATCTTCAGTATAGAGTGAAGACAGTTAGTTATTCATAAAGGTTTGCAACGGGCTGTTAGAAATATTCTTTGTGACTTGCCCGCCAACTTTCTGATCCGTATAAGAGAAATGACTGACTTGACGTGTGTATTGAAAATCCGACCGAATTTTGTTGTTGGTGATGAGTTGATTGACGAAGATTTCCAGATTGGTTTCAGTTGGTTGATGGATGTGTTTCTCGCCGATGTGTCCCCAATTCTCGCTCGATTTGACATCCTCGTCCGTTCCTCCTGTAGTTGAGAGACAATGCTCCCTAGGTAAGTGAATGAATGAAGTAACCTCTTTCAAATACCTCCCGTTGATGGTGATTGGCGCTAGATGTTACTGCTGTTGTTGTTGTTGGTTGGTCATTTTCATAACCTCCGTCTTGTCCTTGTTCACTTGGAGTCCTGTCTTCGCCGGCTGCTTCTTCGACCAGTTTGTCGGTAGGTTTTCGCTTGTAAGTCTTCGATTTTGTGTGACATCAATCATCCGAGCACGAAATCCAGGTCTTCTAGGTTCTTCACGTCGATCGGTCCAGGATATCCCTGTCTTCTCGTTTCCCACTCACAGTGTGACGCATAATCCAGTCATTCCACCACAATTAGGAATATCATTGGTGACAATAAGCACCCTTGTCTGACTCCTATGTTTACTCCAAACGCCTCGTTGAGTTTTCCGTTGTGGATCACTTGACATGTGCCACCGTTGTCATACAACTGTTGAATAAGGTTGATGAATATGTGGGGTACGACGTAGTACTCGAGTAGTGATCGAGGATTTATTTTAGTATACGTTAATAATTATTTTATTTAAAATACAAATTCGATACACTATGAACACTAAAAGATGCACCACACAACAATAGGTAAAGTAAAATAGAGAGGGAGAATGGAATGAGGGTCGTCTTCCAGAAAGCATGCCTTTTTTTTTCAAGATGATTCGACGTTTATTATTCCATGGTACTTTCAGAAAGGAGTATAAAGAAGGAAGTTTCACCATTGGTTGCTATTCCTGGCCATATCTGATAACGTGTCAAGATACCGATATGGACTGCCTTTTAGTCCTTAAACCAGGTAGTGGTGATGTACTAAGTGAGGCTAACTTAACACAAATATCCTTCAATCCATGATGCTACGTCGTAGGCTGACTACTTCTTTCCATCCGGTCCCAGGTCTGGCGAACAGACACTGGTATGGAAGCCTATGGACACCGAAGCTGGTGTTTCCAGATGATGACATTTAATGAATGAATGGTGATCTCTACCGTGCTAAAAACACATGCTGCCATCAGACGAAAGTAATTCTACGGAGACAGCGATGATCGAATGTGCAGAGTCACTGCGAATCCTCAGCTAGAAGAGGCGAGGTTTCGAAGGTGTAGAGCAAGACTGCGTGCATTGAAGCATAGAAACCCCAACCCTTGTCAACCAGGCCTGACATCACGACAGTGGCAAAGGTGGTCCAAGTTGGTGTATCCCACCTCTAGTTTTTACTATACGATTAGAAATCTCGTCTGTCACACCGCCGCCGCCAGCTCTCACACGCACAACTACCTAGATACATAAACTTGTCGATAACTTCAAGTGGTTCACCTAAAAAGGGTAAGGATAAGTACTGCTTCCTGCCTACGCTATAATAATAGTAAACTTTTTAATTTCATTGTATCTATTTTTAAGGTTAGCACTTTGTTTTTTTATCAAGATTGATCATGAAGTGACATCATCTAGAGAGTCATTGAAAGCCAGGAACTACTGGATAGGTGTTCCGTCCTTTCTTAGGACTCTGAAGCAGCACGCATCCGTAACGCCACAGGGGATTGAACCCAGGACCATCAGGTAACAAAACGAGCTCGTTTACTATTAAGCAAGCCACCAGGATGGAGTTCAGCAGCTCATCGATTCTATCTTTCTCCTATTCGCGATACATATCGTGACCGCGGACCACTGTCATCGGTATTTATCCTGTCCAGACAGGCAGATCCAGACATTTATCCTCATACCCAAGTTGGTGGACTTCAGTGAACAAAAATTCCCGCCAGGACTTCACCTTGTAGTTAGCCACTAATGGGCACCTGTTCAGTACTCTCTCTCGCTTTCAGTGCGCACTTTGAAAGAGGTCCAAGGAAGGACGAAACAGCCATACACTAGTTCCTGGCATTCAGTAGTAGTTCTCTAACTAAAGTCAATTCATAATCAATCAGTCTTGAAATCAATTAAATTTTTGCAAATTTTTACACTTAGAATAGAATGTAGGGTTTAATTAATTATTATTATTATTATATCCTTTAATTCCTAGAGTAACATAGGGCTTCAGCCGCCCTAGTCTCCGTTGCCTTCGCTTTTCTGCCATCGTTTTCATCCCGCTCCAAGTCTGTCCACATGTTTTCATCTCCTCTTCACATGACCTCCTCCAAGTCACCCTCACACTGACGACCAACTCACCGCTTCCCTTTCAGGTTCCACTCGAGCAATGGCTTGTCTAGTGATGTCACTTGATGGTTTCCTCAGCGTATGGTCAATCCATCTCCATTTCTTCCTGCCTATTTGTTTCACAATCGGTTCCCACTGGGTTGGTTCGCTCATTGCCAGAGATCCCAGTTGCTGATTTTTTTCTGGCCATATGATCTTGAGTAGTATTGAGCGAAGACAGTTGTTGATGAAGGTCTGTAGTTTGTTCGAAGTGCTCTTTATGACTCGCCAAGTCTCTGATCCGTATAGTAGCACTGACTGACTTCACATTGGAGTTGAAAACCCTGATGTTATTTTTGATGCTGAGTGCTGTTGACCTCCACACAGACTTGTGAGTAATGAAAGCTTGTCTTGCTTTTCCGATTCTGGCTTTGATGTCCTCGTCAGTTCCACCTGTAGTTGAAACGAAGCTTCTTGAAATTTTAGTAGCATAAGTGCTGTTTTTTATTTGCAGGATTGGGGCTGCTAGCCTAACACCCTGAAACTTCTGTTTTCCAAGCTTACTACTTACTAACTGGCAAACTAGTTGAGGTTTAGGAGGAGCGTTTCGGCGGAGAGTTGAACCTCAACTCCCTTGCGAACGTGTTTAGCTGGAGAGTAGTGTACCATATACAACCACCGACTCACGAGATAGCTAAGCCATATGTTGGTTACACATATTCATTGTGTATTTCAATATAACTGGGTCAGCGAAATTGTCACTATTTTGTCTCTAGAGAAAATTGGTGTGTTGTTCTCAGTGTAACTGTGGCTACCATTTGGTTAAAAATTCTATGGATGATTTGTCTTAAAATCAACTATACTTGGTACTTATGGATTTACGAGTCGTTGGCGTTAGCATTTGACTTAAGGCCAATTTGTCCTGGATTCGAATTGCACTCCTCTGTGTAACTAAGTAGTATCATCATTGTGGGTAAATTTTGTTTTGATAAAGTCTCACAGTGTTGTTATATAGTAATGTTTACTGATGACCACGTTCCGAGCACAATTTACTGCTGGTCATAATCATATGAAGGTACTCACACGACTTCCTAACTTCATTTATATAGTTCCATTGTTTTTCACTTGATTTGATTGGTAGTAGTATTTTCCATATTTCGGGTTATGAGTGATGAATCATTCCTATTGCATGTGTTGGGTGTAGATTCGATGAGCCAGGCAGGATTCAGTAATCAACTACCTCTCTCTCTCTCTCCACCTACCTAGATTACTTTCTAGAATTTTAACCCTCTCCCACCCTATTGTGTGTTGATGCATGCATTGCAATTGCTGAGCTTTTTTCTAAATTACTTATATTCTCTAGTGGGGTCAACCATTCTTACCTTAGCTAAATTCCTATGTGCTGACAATCTGACTACCCCTCACCTACTAGTTTGACCTATGTAGTTGACCTGAATCACAGTCATTGCAGGGTATTTTGTAAATTATATTATTTTGTCTATTTGGATCAACCTTCGCATAATAAATGTGACTCATAGCACTTGGTATACAGAAAATCTGTTCCGTATAACTAAGTTCTGAAATATGTCAACTGACCAAGGAGTAGATGACAGCTGTTTCGCCCTTGTTTAGGACTTCTCAGCAGCTTGAATCCTTGAGGGACCGAACCCAGCACCTTTAGGTGTTTATGACGCAAGTCCATTAACTATTTAACTATAGGTCATTAGATTCAGTCTCAGTGGCGAAATTCGGTAGTTTATCCTTATTTAAGTGTTGGTTTGTTGGGATTTCATTGGTTACATGATTTTCATCATGAGCTGACATTGGTTAGAGAACCATTGGAAAACCACCTGGGAGTACTGGATAGCTGTTTCGTCCTAGTTTGGGATTCTTCAGCAATACGCACCCACCGCCAGAGTTCGAACCTAGGACCTTCTGGTTACAAGACTAGAGAGCCCATAGACCATTAAGCCACTTGGACCTGAACTAATGGCTCATGAATTTTAACTTCTGCCAATTCACGACATTAGCGTGACTCCTAGCCAATGTCTTTGGCGAGTATTTGTCCTCACACCCAGCCTGGTGCACCCTATTGGTCACTACTTCTCACTGGAACCCCAGGTAACTACCTATCTGAATATAGTAAGTCGCTAGTGAGCATCTCGATGATATTCAAGTGTCGGTTTGTAGGGGTTTCATCGGTTACAGGATTTCAACATGAGCTGGCATTTGTTTAGAAAATCATTGGAAAACCGGCTGGGAGTACTGGACAGCTGTTTCGTCCTAGTTTGAGACTCTACAGCCGTACGCACCCACCTAATGGTTCTCTAACCAATGTCAGCTCATGATGAAATCCTGTTATTCTTATTTCTTGGACGTAAAACTCTTTTTTTGTATAACATTCTTTAAACTTTATGCTATAATTCCATTAATAATATACTCTGAAAAGATTAGCTGTCTTTGATCATAGGTGCATGCGTTCTATCTCCCGTGTGAAGTGGCATAATAAGGTGAGCAACATTGAGATTAGGCGTCGAGTTCTAGGTAAACAGGGGAAATCAATCGAGGAAGTTGTGAAGTTGCAAAGACTGAGATGGTTAGGACATGTGTTACGTATGCCTAGTCATCGCCTTCCTCGACGAGCAATGTTAGCTGACATACGGTCAGGCTGGAAAAAAGCTAGCGGCGGTCAAACCAAAACATGCAACCAGTCAATGAAATCTACAACAGTTAGTTTAAGCCAGCCAGTCAGTCACGTAGGAAGGTGTAGACTTCCTGACTGGTTGGGGTCCTCGGGACGGTAACAACCAATGGTTGGAAACAATTGGTGACATGGCTCAAAATCGTTCTCAATGGCTGGCTGGCGCAGATGCATCCACTCCTTGTGACTAATGATTTCCCATGAAACTATATTGCTCTTGATTACTACGATTCCTTTGTCTGACACCTTTGTTTACTGTCTCTATTATGCATTTCTTCTACTTCTCTTGCTTTTCGTGTGCTACATGCAGGAAGCGTGGCGACTTGAACTGGTGCACATCGGTGCGAAGCTGTTCTATGTCGAAAACAGACAGACAGGCATATATACTCTGACGATGTTGGAATTTTAAGAATAGCGAATTTTCCTCGGAACTGTCGACATACTTCGTAGTATATAAAGTGAAAGAAGCAGGTATAGGTGAATAGTGTGTGTCACAAAAACTTGACAGAAATCAGTTAAAATGGTAGTAAAGTAGAAAGAAACAGTTTTAATTGTTGAATATAATTTTTTAAAATCAAAATCTCTTTTTTCTTTTTTATATTCCTTTTTATAGATAAATAGTCAAAAAGTGTGGACTGAATGTTTACGAGCAGTAGAGTCAGTGAATTCAATAGATTGTCCTGAGGAAATTCGATCCCAACTTCTTTTAATGTGCCGAGCTGATGATCCCGAGTGACTTCTTATGTGTTGTACATATACTATTTTCTTCTTACTAAAACAAAAAAGAGACAATAAAAACTACCTTGAAGGCAGCAGCAGCAGACCTTTTCACTCCTCTCCTCAGGGGGTTCAATCCTTTGAAATTCTCAGTAGTGGATGTGTTGTTGACCTTATGTGAGCTGGGTTTGCTAGCCTTGTACCAAACCTTACCTCTTTTACGGACTAGTAAACTAGGCAATGTTTAGGCTGAGATACTGCCTAGGCGCCCAGACGGAAGCAGGTGGTTTTCTTAAGGGACCATACTCCCGCGAGCCTTTGACTTGAAGTCTAATCCGAAAGGCAACGGAGCAGCGTCAGGAGCTGCATTCCCATGGTTTCCGGTGACCAATATGAGTTCATACGCCATCTGATCCCATTGAATTCTGGATCCCATGTACCCCATGGTAACTGCTTTTAGTTTAACCGCTCTCCAAACAACCTTCCTGATATGGTAGGACCTGCAGGGACATGAGTCCAAGCCAGTTTAGCTTGTTGAGTCACTGCGATATTCAAGCCCGACCACCACGGCAAGATAGCAGTTGTCGGCCGGGAAATCGCGGTAAACTAGGCGATGTTTAGGAAGCCTGTCTCAGCCGAAAATTAAACCCAGACCTACTCTCAGAGTATCTGACGGACATTCTAGTAGTACTGAACCACTAACGTACAAAAAT